CAAAAGCTAAGAGACATAAATTAGAAGCTCATGATTAGCTACATATAAGAATGACAACCCTATTCAAGCAACACCATCTTCTAGTACAGAAATATTAGGCAAGAATATCTGGTTTGCAAACATAAATTGAGTCTTTCTAAAGTGAGCTTGCTGTAAACAACATACACCACAGTAGAGTTAGAACATACATAAAACCACTGTTTCTAAATTCCACTTAGCTCTCAAAAAGAGAAAATAGGTAATCTCCTGTGAAGTGCACAACCATATTCCATCTACCCATACTGATTCTGTTTATCTCTCATGAAAACTCCACTGCATTTTATAAAGAGTCATAACACCTCTGGAGCTGTTCCACTAACAGTTTGGTTAACAGGAGGCAGGACAGAAAAGTGGAAAGCAGGGACAGGCACCAAACTGCTTTCTCTACAAGAACAGATCCTCTTTCCCTCTTCACCCTGGCTTTTGGTCAGTACAGAAATGTTTGGCTGCTGCAAGTACCTCTTTGCAGACTTGGTGCAGCACAGTTCTGCCAACATGAGGAATGCATAAAAAAACCAAAACCAGGCTCCCTAAAGCTGTAAGAATAATATATAAACCAGTGACTTTTCACAAGCACCACCATATAGGCTTTTTGTTTCTAAGCACGAAGAGAAACTTCTGATTTCTGAGTATACAGACAATTCTTGGGTTTTTTTCTAGACCATGTTTTTATGCATAAATATGTTCACATGGCACCTGATTTTTTTTACAGTCGTGTCCTGTCATTCTAAACCACCTAAATTCACCAATAGTGAGAACTGGGAATTTTCAAACCTTTCCAAGTTTGAAAGTTTTGATTAAAAACACTGTACCTCCTGAAGGTAAAGAAGGTTCAGTTGATTCAATTACTACTTGACTTATCCAAGGAGGAAGAAAAAAGTAATGAACAAAAATCAACATAATTTTCTCATTTCTAATAATACAATTCAAAAAGAGATGTTGAGAGGATGAGATCTACCAGTTCTATAGCTCTGATCTGAGTAGCTTAGCATTTAACCTCTGCTGTGAAACTCCTGAAAAACAAATCAGTTTTGGGATAAATTTGTTAAATTTTATTAAACCTAACTCTATATACACATCTACATTTGTTTAACTAATAAAACAAAGCACAAAATAATTCTATAATTCCATTTTAATTTCCATTCAAATACCAATAAAAGGGTAATTAAAGAAGATTTCCATGAACAGCAAACATCAGGAAATTAAAACATATATAAAGGCAAAATTGCTTTAAAAGATGAAAACCAAAGTATTTCAATCTCCTGAGTAGGAAAAAAAAGTTCTGTTTTCTGCAAATATCTACTGAACATTTATGTATTGGGAAGTTCCAACCATTGAGAGCCTAAAATTACTTCAGAGAAGGGAAAAATAAAGCAAGCTACCATCAAAGAAAAAGGTCAAGTGAATTTTTAAAAATCAAATTCCACATCACTGCTGTAAAACATGACTAGTGCTGGTAATTTAAAATAATCCAGTTTGCTATATAAAACTGCTTTTAAGAGACAATTAGTAGACAACTGAGTATTCAAAGGTTACTAAATGCTTCTAGATATGAGGAGAAACAGATATGTGAATATTGTGACATAATATTTAGACTTTTAGTACCAAAGGCAGGACAATGCCAACCTGAAGATTCAATGCATAATCTAGAAAGTAATTGAGCATACAACAGAGATTTATAGGCTGTTGTACAGTTGAACAATAGTCATTCTTTTCTTGAAACTCTAAGAATGGAAAAGCACTGTATTAATTGTGTTTAATTAGACCAAGAAGCCTCAGAAGGCTGCAAGATTGCATGCATGACTGGTGAATATTTCCACTACAACTGAAGATATTTTTATTACAATTCTACCAAAAACAGAGAAAAAATAAAACTAAAAACAAACTAAAACCAAGCCAAAAACCCAAACAAAAAAATTCTGCAAACCAAAACCAAAAAAAACCAGATCAAAAAAAACCAAACTAAAAGCCCCAAACCCAATCCAACCACTATTAAAAGTATTTGGGATCATACTCTTCCTGTATTTTCAGATTTGGTACAGCTGGGCCTTTGTATCCCTATGCACAAAAGTTTCCCAAACCAGCAGTGTGCTCCCCCTGGGTTTGTTAACACCAAGCACAGCAGCTCCAAAGGGGCTGGAGATGGTGAAAAGGAGGGAACCCAGCTGGAAGAGCCTCTGCTGGCACTGGGGTGTGGTGCAGGGACAGCTCCCAGACAGAGCAGAGGATGCACCGGCAGGAAAAGAGAGAAAAGTGAACTTTCAGCTTTGCAGGGCATGCCTGGAGCCAAGCTCCCCTTCATGCAGACATGAATTAAGCAGCACCACACCTGCCCTGCTCCATTCCAGCAAGGAGAGGCTCAGTAGAGGCTGCACCTCCTTGCACTACCTCAGATCTTCTGATCTGGCCCAGCAAAATCCATGGAAGAAGACCAGGCTGCCCTGTGATCTCCATGGCAATGGCTAAGCTTCATAAATAGGTTTATACACAATCAATATAAAGATGTGCAAATCCTTGCTGGAGTTTTTCCTCAGCTATACCAGGTTTGAACTTTAAAAACATCAATTAAATCAGAAAAATGATAAAAGCTTCATATGACCTGCTTCTCTACTGGCTTTAACTTTGAAAATAATTTATGTCTGCTCCAAATGGGTTCAGAGTACTACCATCCTCATGGGGTAATGATTTATGAAGTGTTAGCACACAGGTGAATGTGTGTAGTGCAAGAACTTGCAGATTCAAACCCTTTGTTTCCCTTTGTTGCTATTTAATTATGAGTGAAGGGGAAGCAAAGAGTTTAAATAAACCCAGTCAAGTGTACACTGCCAAGGAAACACTCGGGGATTCAACAACTTCGTACAACTTTCCCTGTATTTAGACTTTATTGCTTTTTACATTTGGGTACAGCCCAAATCATGCAACTTCCCCCACGCTCATTTCACTTTGTTCTTTTCTCTGTCAGATTATTCTCTATTTATTTTGCAATTCTGCTTCCCCACTCCCCCTGGGAATGAATTTCTTACTAACACATTTCTGAAGACAGGCTCAGAACTCAAAGGCTTAGTCAGTCTCCCTTAGCAGAAAATGCTGCCCTTCCTTGGTTTTCAGTCTTCATTGCAAACTGCATCTTAGAAGAGCATTCAGTGAGGAATCAAGAAGCCAAAAAGTCTGAAGACAACTTCTGTCTTGTCTAGCTCCTGTTGGTGTCTAAATTAGTAAAACTGCTGCCTTATCCTGTTGAAATAATGAGACATGCACCACTGCTCTGCTAAGCTAGTAGTCAAATTTTACAGTCATTTGTCTTATAACGATCCAATAATACATATCTCAAACTTTCAGTAAGATTTTCATATACGTCAAAATAATCCATTGTGAAAACCATAGAGAGAGAACAGATTTTAATTTTAAAAAAAAGAAAAAATTTGAACATGACAAACAACATGGGCAGTGTCATTTCATGCTTTATTCCTGCAAGCTAAAGGGTTTGCATTTTAGATGATCTGTCTTTAAAATGTTAGGGTGAAAAATAAACCTAAATCATATTTTCTTTAAAAAGAATAAATTAATTGTTACCATCAGTATAGAAAATCATATCAATGAATCAATCCAAATTCTCTATTCCATTGCATTATCTAGGATATAAAACTGTTTTCATGTTAGCCTATAATTTTATATTCCAACAAATGTTATTTGGGAACTAAGATTGAAAGATGAAGCATGGAAGAAAATGACATTTTGTGTACCATCTAATTACCAATTATCTGCCAGTGGAACTAATCAAATTGTACAAATTTAGACTGCAGATTCATCAACCAATTACCTTAGAGAACATGTTATACCCTTCATCAGTGATTCAACCAACAGTCCAAGTATCAAACAACTTCCTATGGATATTATAGGGATCTATTTTACTCAGAGAAACACATCTCCAAACACAGTAATTAAAAACTGCTGCAAGTTGTATTATTGGTAAAATACTACCACTGGTGTAAATGTATTTTAAAAGTGTCTAATATTAATTTAAGCTTAACTTATAAAGAAGAGTGACTTACTATACTGGATTAGAGCAGATTGAATTTGATGTACTATATTCTAAAAAATCACACTTTCCATAACCTCTGCTTTTTACACAGTCAATAAAATATTGAAATACAGGTCTGGCTTCTAAATAACCACTCATGCATTAATTCAGGTGCTTCATTTAGATTTAGTAGGAATTGTTTGGAAATACAGCATGCCAGCTCTTATCTGTGAATTACTTTTCTTTATATACAGAAATTATCAATTAAGTGTAATTCTATTTTCATACCCTCAAGATTTTACTTGAATTACCTGCAGACATTAATTTGAAAACACACCAGCTGCTGGTGAATGTCTTTCAGGATATATTTCAAAAGAAGAAAGAGAGCAGTATGTTTTCTTTCTTTTCATCAGAGCACTCAAGTACATAAATATACTCTTAAAAGCACTACGACACCTACTTATGCTAACACAATCTGAGCTTTCTATTATTTTGCCTGAGCATTCTTCTGGAATTAATTTCTAATTATGTTTACAGCACTATCCCCAAATTTGCTAGGAATTATTATTTCAACACTAATGAAAATATTAATATCCTCTTGAGACTCAAACAAACAACTAGAAATTTGGCTCAAAAAGTAAGTTTTTAACTCACATTTCTTTCTCTGCACAAGCGATGTGGTTAATTCAAAAATTTCTTAATTGATGACTTAATATGACATAAAGTATATTCAAAAATATAGTGGCTCACATTCAATCTTTATTTGATTTATGTTTTAAAAACTCTAGGTGTTTCCCAGTTGCTCTGCAGACTGCTGTGTGCAGTGTGGTAGGAAAGAATCCCTCGTGTTCAGGTGCAGATCACAGCTTTCCCCAGGCAGCACCAATGCCCTGAACCTCATCGACAGTGATAGAACTACCTACAGCAGTGATAAATGAAAATTACTGAGACCAGTTATAGGGGCAACAGAAAGGGCATGGAGCAACTACTGAGCACACACAAAATGCATCCCAAAGCAGCCCAAAGGTGAAGCTGCAGCCCCATGAAGTGCAGGGTGTAGAAAGCTTCATAAAACACAGAAATGACCAAACCTTTGGAGAGGAGCATGAACATCAGCATGATTGTCCCAGCCAAGGGGAGGAATCATCAGCAACATGAAATTCCTTGCAGGAGCTCTGCAAGCTGCTGGCAATGCACTGCAGTCCCAAGATGGCCTCTGCACCTGGAAGGGCAGCAGCTGGTGGAATATAACACCAAAAAGCAGAAAAGTTCAACATTCAAGAGCTCTTTTCATTTTTAAATGTAGCTCAGGCGTCTAACTAACACAATGCTGTAAATAGGAGTAACATTGTAACTGAACCAGTAATCACCATTGTATTTTGATTCTACTCCTAATTAAACTAGCATGAAATTCTGGGCTTTGTATACCTGATGCATTCCTCTTTTTCCACAAAACAAGACTTTGAGCATAGGAATATATAGATGTGGAAAGGATATTTGTTCTCTCCCATTTTCCATGCACTAAATTTCAATATGCTGCATATAAATAAGTCCATATGTTCCCAGAATCCATTTAGAAATCACTGCTTCCTCAGAGTGCTCATTATACCCAGACAGACTTCTTTCTACAAGCATCCTATTATTCAGCTCCCTGATGCCTCTCAAAATACCACTCCTATTTCCAGTAGACAAGCTAAACTGTGGCAAAGTTAGGTCTAATTTTCCTAAATCTAGGGATATAATCAAGGAATTAGATTTCCAAATATTCATTTTGCTTTCAGTTGAAAAGCTCACATCTTTAAATATAATTTTTTCTCCCTCCCCTTTAGAAAAACGTGTGTTGTTTCTGGTAACAAGCAGTGGTAGGTGTACCTACTCAGCACATAATATTGGTCCCCATGGCCTCAGACTGAAACTTGCACCTGTGTTTAAACAGAGTTGATTTAGAGAAGGCTTGGTGCTGCTAAGAAATCAGATGAAGTTAACTCCTACTGTCATTCTCTTTACCCAAAAGAAGAATTGAGCTCAGATTCCTGCTTTTTGAATGGGAATGGCATACACGTTAGAAGTCAGCTTTGGGAATTCCTCTCCTGTTATTACCATAAACATAATATCTCCACATCTCTCTTCAGACAATATTGTCAGTAATACTTTGTCTAGCTGTAATTCTCCCTTTGGGAGCCAAGTACACAAAGACGACAGCTTTACAATTTAATTAAAGGCAACAATGGAAAAAATATAATAATAAAGTGAGCAAAACATTTCATGAGAGTTAGATACAAAGGAAGAGACTGTCGAGCATCTCATTGATAAAGCACTGAAACCCTTTTACATTTTACAAATGAGAGTAGCAGTCCCAGGAGCTCATGCTGAAATGTTGAAGGACCCAGGTTGTAGAGTGCCTTTACAGTCTCAAACTGTATTTAGAGAGACAGGAAAAGGACACAAAACCAATGCTTCTACAGCTAAAAAGAGCATGAGATGTGTTCTATTTGTAGATAATTATTAGCGATAAGACAGAGACTACCTATCCAAGAAATTTTTCAGTAACCTCTATCTGCTGAGAGTTTCTGACTTTTTACTGCAATGCCAGCCAGAAAACAAGATTTTAAGGAAAGGTGCCTGCTCTTTAATGTATATACTCAATCTTTTCAGCTTTGTTGTAGTTAAAGAAACTCTATTATATATAGTAATATGTACATTCTTTCTTTAGCTGCTGCTGAGAGACATTGGGCTGTGTAAACTGTTCCTTTAAAACTTACTCAGGAAGCCGTTTCTCTGAGACAGGTCCAATTTCTAGGCAGGTCTAGTTTCTGAGTGGAAGCCTTCACAAAGTGGAAGGCTTGGAAAAGTGAGATGCCCAAAAAAGAGTAGAAAGACAGGTTCAAAGGACAACAGACAACTTAGGCTATGGCATTCCAAAAGCAAAGGCAGCCTAGCTCTGATGCAGCCATCAACAGTAGAGTGACTTTAAATAAAACAAACAAGGACAGGCTAGAGAAGGTGATTGTACCACGGGCTTTCTCTCAAGTGAGCAGGCAGTGCATTTACCTGCCATGCCTTTCCTACCTCCCTCTCCATGGGGCACCCCACACAGAGCCTCCAGACCATTTAAATGTCTTGAGAACTCTATCACAACAGACTGATTTATCTTCACTGCATTCTCTATTATTCCTCTCCTGATCACTTCTTTGCACAAATCTTCCTCTCTGCCTATTGGTCTTGGAGGCAGAAAGAGAACTCCCCACTTTTTATCTTCATAGGGAAGAGATAATTTAGTGTCTTTTTTCAGGACAGATTATCTCATTAAGTAGAGATTTTTAGCTCTTCCTTGTCAGGTGAGCAAGGGCTCAGAGTGGGTGTCCAGCACCATCTGTGACCCTGTGCCAGCAGGACACAGGATTCCACAGTGCACTTTGGGTGGGAAACATAAAGACTGGCATATTTAGGAGCAGAATAAACCCACACAGCCTGGCTGTGGGCTTGGGAGACACTCACAGTGGCAGAGCCAATATTTAGAGAGAGGAGATCTCTTTCAAGAAATAGAATTTCTACAGCAGTGAAGTTTTACACTGTGAATAGTAAGAAGGTAAACAGAGTGTCCATAATTCATTTTATAATGCCTTAAGATGCCTTTTATCTCTCACTACAGGCATAAGACACACATCAAAAAGCTCCTCTGACATTGCCTCCATCACTGCCACTATGACATTGATCATGGCAATAGCAACATCTGAGGAAAGCATCTCCAGGATATAAATATCTTAATTCCCATTTGTTTAGGTTTGTTTATTTTTTAATCTGTGGATAATGTCTGCCTGAGATCCCAGGAAATATGGTAATTAATTAAAAATTATACAAATATGTTTGATTGAAATGAATATTTGCCAAATCCAGTATTTTCACACACCTGTTCTTTCCCAGATATGAGATGCAGCAGTTGGCAGCAAAAACAAGTAGAGAGGAAAAAAGTCCTCCTGTGTAATAGAAAGAATGTCCATTAGCTAAATAGAAAAAAACCCAAAATGACAAAGGGGAAATAACAGACTAGAAAGTTCAAGAATCCAAATTAGTGTTAACAGTTCAATTTATCTTGCATAATATTACAGTAATTGGATTGTGTCTATCATACTGCTGTTGTGACACACTTGGTTTGCTCTCTTTGTTCTGACAGCTTCCCACAGAGACTGCTGTTAGATGGAGATCACTTCTGCAGACTCCAGCATCTCTATCCCTGCTCCATCTCACATCCCTGCTCCCAGGGCTGAAATGCTCATGGCAGCCTGGGCTTCCAGCACCCACAGGTCCTGCAGACCTGCGTGACCCGGGCTGCTCCTCCTCACTACAGCACAAGGTGAAAAAGTTCTCATGTATTAATACTTTAAGGCTAACTTAACGTGCCTATTAAGAATGTCAAAGCATATTTCTTGTCTTGGTGGTTTAGTCATCAGCAGTGAAAGGTAAAGGAGTAATTTTCATCAGCCACAGAAGACTGAATATAGGTCATGGTGAGTTCAAAGACAAATAATTTCAGAATCAAAGTCTCAGTGGAATGCATCAGAGGTAATGCCAAGTAAATCACTGTGTCAGTATGACTGATTAAATATTAGCAAAGAATGTGAATTGATCTTTAAAAAGAAGAAAAAAGAGCTTTGTATCTATTGTGTTGTAAATATTTTTTCTTCCATGCTACCATTACATTCTCCATTTTATTCTCTTGACCTATGATAAAACTATAATGTTTGCCTCAATAAGGTTACACATTTTAATTTAAAATCCATAAAGATGAATCTCAACTAGAAACAATGCAAAGCTAGTCAACATTGTATAAGACTCATTCAAAACACTGTAGTCTTTTCACCTAACTCTAACAGAATAAATGCTGCAATTCATCTTAAATCTCAAAAATAAGCATTGAATTTCATGTGACTAATGTTCAAGCAAATTGTCATAATTCATGTGTAACAGCAAAATCTTCAATCTCAGTGTTGCAATATTACAGATCAGCTAAAAAAAAATAAAAATAAATAAATAAATTAAGAATGTGTCCTGAAAAAGGTGAATAAAATATGTAGATATAGTAAAAAGTCCCAAACAAAATCATCCCTTAACACAAAATGAACCTCTGGATTAATGCATTTTTTAAAATTCTAAAACACCCCTTCTATGCATTAAAGCTCAATAAGGAATATCTTTGAAAGTTACCAATTTAAATTGTAAACATACTGGGTTTTATAAGAAATATCATCTTGTGATGGGATGATAAGAGAAAACAGTCCAGGTTGATATGATAACAGCACTAGTCATCCCAGAAACTGATTAAAGGAAAAATTAAATGACAAACACTAAAATGTATTTGGTATGTACTCCATTTGGAAAATAAGATGTTTCTAAACATGTCATGCATATATAAGAGAATAGGAGGAGAAAAGCAGGGCAGCAGTGGACAGACTTTGTGAGATTTGTTAACCAGGCATTTCAGACTCTTCAAGAGAAGGACAGCTTCTCACCATGTATGTACAGCAGTCCTGGCTTTTTCTTGAAAGAACAGACACGCTGGCCATTTATGAGTTATGACCTGTCCACTGTAAAAAAATTGCTTTTTCTTGCATCTTCATAGTTAAGCAAAAAATTCAAAGGGGATATTACCAGAAGACATCCTTCTGTGAATTTCTATAGGTTACAAAATAAGATTTTTAGACAGACTCCTCTTCCTACAAGAAAACAAAAAGATATTTAGACATCCAGAAATAGTAAGCTCATCAGCTACAGAAAGGAGCCATTTTACTGTCCAAGCAAACGTGGAGTCCTTTTGTTCAGTGCTGGTAAAGGCATCAAAATTCCTCTCACTCTTTGGACATCTCATGAGATTTCTCCAGCCTCAGGGCTGCAGAAACTAACTCTGTGCTTGAAGGTGGAGATATACATTAAAAACATAAGTTGAACAATAAGAGACCTGGAAAGCTCACCTGAGCTGCTCTTAAAACTGTTCTGTAACTCCCACATCTCTATTCATGGTTTATTTATAGGGGCTGACCCAATTGGGCACAGTAAGTTAAATGTCCTCTGGACATTCATCAACATACCCAAGCTGAGATATTAACCTGAGTTATCTCAACAAAGCAAACTTCTGAAATCTGACTCTATGTACAATGTTTTAGTAATAAGTCACAAATTTCACTAAACCTTCATTCAGTCATAGGTTACATAAATCATATAACTATACCTTGCAATGATTTCACCATCTAATGTTATATTTTTTGGCATTAAAATAAAAATACACTCAGAATATTTATATTGCAATTATTTCACCTTGGATAACTCTGAGCTCTTAATTTATATGCACATGTTAGTCCTCTAGATATCATAAATAGTATAAAGACATATTTTTTATATTCTAATATTTTTTCCCTGTGCTATGTTTAATCTCTGTTTCCTGTTTCTCTTCTAATTTTCTTTTAAAACACAGCAGCATTTGATAGCTTTGTATCCTGGGGAAAGAAGGAAAAAAAAAGTGTATACAAAGGAATATTTTTATCTAACCATAAAATTATGCCAGAAACCCAACAGGGACCAAACACCATGTTGGAACAAAAATAGTCCAGAGATACACTTTCAAAGTTGAGCACCTGCTGTAAAATAACCATCTGTGTTTAACTGTAATTTAATTATAGGTTCATTCCTTTTGTGTACACTGGAAGGATCTCACAGGTCTTCCCTAGTTGGTCTGCAATCAACTTCTGGCATTTTGCAAAAGCAACAGACATGTTCTCTTAATAACACCTGCTAACTTTTTTCATTCCTGTTTCAGCAAAATCTTCTGGGATTTTACAATGCTGTTGAGAAACAAAATAAAAAATTATTACCGAATCTGAAATAAAAAACTGCATTAATTAATCACCTGCCCTAAAAAAGCCAATATTATTGGCTATCAGATTACCATTTCCCTTTCCACAAAAGTAAATCAAGAATCACAGTGGTAGAAGATTTTTTATTATTATTTTTGAGGGGGAAAGAAAATCAGTATTCTGCAAAGATCTCCAAGCTACTATGGCAATCTATATTAATTGAAAACTGCAGTGTTCTGCACAATACCTCAAAGCAAAATAAAGTTCATAGACATTAATACTTGCTGAAACTAAGCCAGCCCATTTGAATTTATTGGAATTACAACAAAAAAACAACACAGCCACTTCTCACAGGATCCAGTCAGAGACCCCAAATTTCATCTTAGTATGACCAGCCCATTTGGCCAAATGATTTAAATATTGATGGCCAAATTTAGCCATCTAATAAAAGCTTGATGTCAGAAGAAGACTGAGAAGACTTTTCTAAGATTATTTAATTGACTACTTAATTAATTACTAGATAAAGGATTGAAATGTCTTATGTTTTCACTGTACCTTTATATATTATTATATATACACAAATAAATCTTTAGCTGCTGAATGTGAGTCCTATGGATGAAACTGCAGAAAGCAGAGTTAAAACCTTGAAGCTCACGGAGCTTTGTAGTAAAAATTCTAATAATGCAAACTAGCAACTTCAGAAAAAAAAAGTGGAATTAGATCTGAATTCAGCACTGGCTCATAATAGACCATACTTGAAATTATATATACATATATATATATATATATACATACACACATAAACTAGCTTCCCTGAATTTTCAACCACTAGCTGCCCCATTACCAAGCATTTACATAGATAAGAATAATGGTAAGGGTTTGCTTGTGAACAGTGGCTGACAGAAATATCAATATTAGCAGGATATAGAAACTTGATATAATCTTAACTATTAAAAACTACAGCAATGAAGATATCTACTCAGATTTAGATAATGCAAGACCCTAAATCATATCTCTCTACTTCTCTAGCATTATTGCTGTTTTTTAAATATCTTTGCAAATCCCTAGGTACTTAAAGTTCATACATTCATTAAACAAACTCTTGCAAGGGACAACATACATTTTAAGTAACCTAACTGTGCCAATTACGACTCAAAATCAGACACAACATCAGACCCAAAAAGAATCAAAATTCTTTCCTGACAGCAAATCAATGCAATCTTCTAATCCTGGAGTAGATTTGAGGTAGTGAAGAAGAGTGGCCAAACCCAGATTCATATATATCAGGTGTCATTGAAAAAATCCTGCACTTTGCTCACTGAGTTGGAGCACAGCTGTTGAATACTATTTGATTCTATGTGAAGCAAAAACATTTCATCAAGTGGTATTCTGCCTTTTAGTGAAACACCTTCACAGAAAACTCTGATGGAAATGACACTGAAATTTAAGTATTCAATAAGTTCTGGTCTGTCAAACTTTCTCAGTGCCACACTGATGTCAATCGAGTACAAAACACCTGTGATGTCAGATTTCTGTTTGTACTTTCACCCCACACAGATCCATAGCAATCTCTCAAACATCCTTTAGGAAATGCCATTCCAGTAGCACCCAGCTACAGGCAGAGAGGGTTTTCCTGCTGGAATTGGCAGCAACAGCAGAGGCCATTCCATGCAGTGTAAGCACAGAACAAAGGGAGCAGGTGGATGCATCCTTGCAAATGGACAACCTCTCTTCCTTTTTCATTTTCTTTCAACAGCTGTGAACAAACAGCTCTGGACTTGCTCAGTAGTAATTTCCTACCCAAAAGCAGCTGTGTGCATGATAGGTTTAGTCCAGCTGCTAAACTAAACATGGAACAGGTGCTTTATTGCAAGTCTGACTTAATGATCAAGTAAAAAATAATAAATAATCACCATTTCTAAAATTAAAAGAAAAACCTGAAAAAAACACCCCACCTCACCAGTTTATGAAAGGTGGGACTTCAGCAATACCATCAGCAAACCAGGAAAAACCATGAGCAATTCCACATTCACCACATTCCTTGTCCCAGCCCTTTACTGCAGCTGCACAACTCAGCTGTGAGCTGTGGATCCTCAGCCTGAGACCTGCAGCTGCCCCAAGGTAGCACT